GCATCCTCGTGATTATCTCCTTGTTCCAGGATTATGGTGTTAGAGGATTCCCAACCATTAAAGTATTTGTTCCCGGGAAGCCTCCAGTTGATTACCAAGGAGCAAGGGACGCCAAATCCATTGCTAAGTTTGCTACCCAGCAGGTATGTCACATATCCATTGCTGATTCCTTTATCCTCCATCAAGTTCTTGGACCTGCATTCATATTAATATGTTGTTTTTGCTTCACAGATAAAGGCGCTCTTAAAAGATCGTTTGGATGGTAAAACAACTGGCACAAAAACTGGTGGAGGATCCAGTGAGAAGAAATCCGAGCCTAGTGCCTCTGTGGAACTTAACTCTAGCAATTTTGACGAGATGGTTATTGAAAGCAAAGAAATTTGGATTGTGGAGTTTTTCGCACCTTGGTAAGTAGTGCATATTGGCTCTTGAACTCTTCACGCCATTAACCTTCCTCGGGATGAAGCTGAAAACGTTTTTTGTTTCTTCTCCAAGGTGCGGACATTGCAAAAAGCTAGCTCCTGAGTGGAAAAAGGCTGCAAAGAAGTTGAAGGGGAAGGTCAAACTAGGTCATGTGGATTGTGATGCTGAGAAGGTACTCACTCGATGTAATTTGGTGAAAAATATATTTAGGTTGACAGGGCTGGCTATCAGCTCAATCATTGCATGCACAGCCTCCCATTTCAATATTCTTTTGGTTACTTAGTGATTTTAGCATTACAGATTCCTACAGCACGTTACAGTCTTCTACAAATGCTTGCTTTCATTTTACCCCGATGAGTTCTGACAAGGTATTACATACTGCAGTCGATACAGAGCAGATTCAAAGTGCAAGGATTCCCCACTATCTTGGTCTTTGGTGCAGACAAAAGCAACCCAGTTCCTTATGAGGGTGCTAGATCTGCTTCAGCCATAGAATCTTTTGCTCTGGAACAGCTAGAATCCAATGCTGGACCTGTTGAAGTAACTGAACTAACTGGACCGGTACTGTTCACATCCTTGGCTTTCTCCCATAATATTCTTTTCAGCAACATAAGACACTGACTTGTGTCACGTTCCGATTGAATAGGATGTCATGGAAGAGAAGTGTGGCCCTGCCGCTATTTGCTTTGTTTCTTTCTTACCTGACATTCTTGACTCAAAAGCTGAAGGAAGGAACAAGTATCTAGAGATGTTATTATCTGTTGCAGAGAAGTTTAAGAAGGACCCTTACAGGTAAACTTAAGGACATATCTTTTCTCTTTTTGTTACTATCAGCATACTCCAGCTCTCAGTTACTCTGTTTTTGATGCTTTCAAACGGAAAGGAGAAACTGAACAAAGTTTGAATTTTTCTACTGTTTTAGGCTAAATCCCAAAAAGCTGTTAGAAAATAGTGCTATATAAGCAACGTAAACTAGATATTGGGAGTTATATGTTGGATCATGGAATTAGATGCAAATTACCTTGAATCTGAATCTTTCTAAAACAGCAGATTTTACGGTTTGAGATTGTAATAGAAGTGGTAGGACTTTTGCTTCTACAGCATCTGGACATGGTCATGCTTCTTTTGTGAATTTTTCTTCTTATTTGATCGTGTTTGCAGCTTTGTGTGGGTGGCTGCTGGGAAGCAACCTGATTTGGAGAAGCGTGTTGGTGTTGGAGGTTATGGTTATCCAGCTATGGTAGCCTTGAACGCAAAGAAAGGAGCTTACGCTCCACTTAAAAGCGGTTTTGAGGTTAAACACCTAATGTAAGTGTACCTTTTTTCTTTCTCCCTATCTTATTTTTCTCGAGCCAGCCAATAGAAAACCAACGGTCCATGCGTCTTTCTGAAAACGGGTCTTTTTCTCTTTCGTGTTATCAGAGAATTTGTGGAGGAAGCTAAGAAAGGAGGAAAAGGGAATTTGCCAATAGATGGAACATTGGATATAGTGAAGACAGAAGCTTGGGATGGTAAAGATGGAGAGGTGGTTGATGCAGATGAGTTCTCACTTGAAGAACTCATGGGAGATGATGATGCTACTAATGCCTCCAACTGAGTCCAAGGACGAGTTTTGGTACGGTTTTGGTTTGAGTTTCTTCTTGAACGTCTGTTAAAAATGTCCCAGTCGTGGAAAAGCGAAAGCCAATGATATCAGTTTCAAAGAGTTTAGAACAGAGTTAATACACTTTTGGATTTAATACAGATACCGACTTTAGTGAATCTTCAGCTTTCCCTCAGTATATTGTATACCTTTCATAAAATCGGATGCATAATCGGTATCCTAGCAGATTAGTCGAGGAAGCTTTTTATACAACGATTTTATATCATACAGAAATAGCATATACAAGGCTTTGTCTGTCTTGGTAGTTGAGTCTCTCGTCCAAATACCAGACCAGTACCGACACTTGCAACCGCCAATGGTAAACTACAATATCTTGGTTGTCCAAGGCGTAGATCTTGGTAGACTCAAACGAGGTTGAGGCTGTTGGGACGAATCCAAGTAGGCCACATCGCTGCAAATTGTGATGTCAGAGCTTGAGCAGATGATTTCCGCGTTTTCAAGTGTGAACCCGTGGATTATGGGCAAAGGGAAGCCTTTTTCGAGATGGTCATTTGCATATGGTACAAACACCGTTTGTATAACAGTCCACACTATTGGCTAGAAGATCGGAACAAGATAAAGAAAGGCGTGTAAATATAAAGAATGAATGAAATTTTTCTGATACAAACATGCGAGTGCTTTATGCTCTTACCTGAAGAAGATGCAGATGGAGATTTCCAATGTTGCTCCATTTCAAAGACATGGAGAAATCTTCTAATCTTACGCTTCCTCCAAGGTTATTACCCATGACTCTGAGAGCACCCGACCCTCGGATCACCTGCAGCCAAACAACAGTGAATCATCTAGCATGTTTTTTCGCAAAGTAACTAGAACAAAATATTTACAGCACTGTGTCATTTAAAGACTTACCAAGGAAATGCATGCTACTGGTATTACTTGGTTTGCTTCTAGAACATCGATTATCAGATCTGCGTTTACATTAGCTCCGACATATTGCTCTGATATCTTTACATACGGAGGCGAAGACAAACTGATGTTCAGATTCATATCCTGGTTCGGGTACTTCTTGTATAGTTGTGGAATGATGAACCTCCACCTAGCAGTATTTAAAAGAGACTGCTCTGGTACTTTATCCACTATCCATTGCATAAAATCTGCCTGAATATGGAAATATAGAAATCCTCACATGAGAAACAAAAGTAGAATATCTCAGATGCATTGAAATCATATGGAAGAGTTTTATCAAGAGATGAACATCGACATTTCGAGTAGCCATTAGGAACTTACATTGTAGTACAAAGCTGCAGCAGAGTTAAAGACAGCTTCATCCACTGAAATTCCGAGCATTTTAGAATTTCCAGGGCAGATAGCTGAAGGTACAGACTTTCTGAGGAATGACTTTAAGACTTGATTCGTTTCTCTTTTGGTGAACAAGCCATCAATCTCGAAAGTGATGGACGAATTTCTCAATATAGGATTATCAGTGAAGGTGACATTAAGTGCAGCTTTATCATCTACAGGGATTTCCTTTGGAAGGCTTTGTAGGAATGAATCAAGGTCTGATACTCCTTCACTAAGTTTCTTGGCAATCGTAGTTTCCACACTTGCTCCAATTTGGTCTTTAAATGCATTAACCATCCTGAAATTGCAGAGAAAGTATATAAGCAAAAAACCAAAAGCCATAAAAACGAGTGAGTGGTAATTTCCATACCCCTGATAAAACCATGATGCTCCTCCTTCCAACTCAATAAGTATGTCTTTCACATGGCATCCACATTCCAAAAGAGAAAGTTTTAAGCCTCCTTCATCACTTTGCAAGCCTAGTGAGAGTCCGATTTCCATGCCTTTAACCTTACCGAGAAGGCGAGAATCAGCACTCATCAAATTCCCTTTGTAAAACAGATATCAAAATGAGCAATGCAACACACACCCACTACACACAACTTATTGATTAGCAACAGAACTTGAAGCAGTCTAGAATCATCATACATCTACCAGCAAGTCATGGAACAAGATTAGTAATTTTCATTTCATAATTACCTGAACTGATGCAATTCCTTTATCAGAGATTTCCATTGGAGGAAGCCAAGTAGAGTAAGAATAATGCCAATTCATACTCAAATTACAAGTCGTCCCTGAAGCGACAACGACAAGACCTGTCTCACCAAGCTTAACATAAGAAGAAGCAACATCAAGCTCGTATATCGTCAGGTTTGAGACAACAACATCGATTCCTCCGAGGAAAGGGATTCTCACAGATTTCTCAATCCTAGGAATCTGGAGAGGTATAATCGATGCAATTGCTTTGTTAACTAGAAGATTCTTGACGAAATCGAGTCCGTTTTGAGATATCAGAACCGATGTGAATGAATCGGTCTGAGTATGTGAAGGTAAAAAAAAGAAGAAACTTTGTAAAATAAGAATGATAAAGCACCACCACCGAACATCCATGGCGGAAATTCGACAAAGTTTGTATTTTTTTTAGATCAACTCTTGTCTTGTCTCTTCCACGCCTTGTTCTTCTATGAAGAAGAACAGGTTAACAGACAAAAGCAAGTTGCGTAATGGTGTGGACTTATAATAAGAAAATGACTGAAATACCCTTGTCATTCGATTTGCGTTGTGTGGTGGTGGCCTGGGTTAATCTGATTGAAATTGGAAGTTTTCGGGGTGAAAATGTAAATATGAAAAACATTTATAACTTTGTGGTCAATCAAAGAGAAAGTTGAGAGTACACATCGTAATTCCGTCTCTTGTGGTGGGCTTAGCGTCACGGAACAGAAGAATCGAGAAGAGTCGGTCTTTGATTTCTCAAGCTTTCTTAACCGGAATCCATGGCTATGCAAGCCGGTGTTCAGACCTCTAAGGTCCTCATACTTCTAGGAGCAGGTCTCTCTCTTACTTTTTGTTAGTGATGAATTCGTTTCGTATTGATTTGATTGTAATCTAGATAAATTTCTAGAGTTTATGATGGTTTAAATTGGTTTATGTCTTAATTTCTGGGAATTTGATGGATCACTATGCATAAATAATTCAGAATTAGCTATTAAGCTTCTTTTTTTTGGGTTCAATTGTTAGGGTGGATTTGATGGTAATACAGGCTTGGATTTGTTCTTTGTTATGTATGGTGAATTGTGTATTGTGCAAATGTTCTCATTGTAATTAATTCTAGTGAGTTAGATGCTGCTAAGTGTGCGTTCTGTTTCAAAGTCTGTCTTACAAACAAGCAAGCAAGTTATCTTTGTCTGATTAGCTTCTTCTTCTTGGTTTCTATTACTCTGGAATCAGACCGTGGTTTCGACATGAGAATTTTTTAATCTGAAACTTTGTGATAATGGCTATTCTGGCTTGAAATGATGTTTAATCAAGGATTTTCCTTTACAAATTTATGATTTCAAGTTGTTTGATTCTTGATTCTGTTTTTATGTTCAAGGTGTGTCTGGTTCGATTGTATTAAGACATGGGAGGTTGTCAGACCTAATAGCGCAGCTTCAAGACTTACTCAAGGGGGCTGAAGGAGTTGAAAGCACACCATATAATTTTGACAGTGCGGCTCTAGCTGCTCAGGTATTGCGATTGCTTTTTCCCTGTTAGCTAAATGTTCTCATCAACCGAACTCAAAAAACAATCCAATACAGAAAATAAGAATTGTGCTCTGTGGAATCGTTAGGCTAAAGGTAGTCCCTCTGTTTTGTGACATAATTTTTCTTGTTTACTAATAACCAGATTCGTCAACTTGCAAGCGAGATTAAAGAACTAACTATGACCAATCCCATTACCGTCTTCAACGGAGATTCAAGCTCCAATGGTGTGTAAGAAATCCCAGTTTTTCAGAAATGATTATGTAGATAATCTAAAAAAATGTTAAGCAGAACTACCTTTGCTTTTGCTGATGCAGGCTATGCGTCTTACCTGGTTCCAGCGGCCGCCGTTGGAGCTATGGGATATTGTTACATGTGGTGGAAGGTCCTCATCTCTTGAAAATCTATCATTTTTGTGTGTTTCATGTGTCTTTTGTTAGAGTTTTGTAACATGTTGTTTTTCGATGCATTAGATATCACTGACTTCTAATGTTTACCCGCATTTTACTCCTTTCGTTCTACGTTGCAGGGTTGGTCATTTTCCGATGCGATGTTTGTGACAAAGAAAAATATGGCTGATGCAGTTGCCTCTGTTTCAAAACAACTAGAAGATTTATCAGAATCATTAGCGGTGAAATTTATTTTCTTTTCGAAACAATTGCTTATTATATATTTGATTTCCTTGTGGATTATGACTTATTGTATTTGCTTACGCAGTCAACAAAGAAACATCTTTCTAAGAAGCTAGCGACTTTGGATTGGAAGGTGGAAGAGCAGGCCGAGACATCTAAAATGATCTTAAGTGATGTAAGGAACCCATCTTACTTCTTACTTTCTCGTATTGATGTCTTAATTTTTCCAAGAATACGTATTAGGATAAGGATACATTCGTCACATCGATACTTGCTTCAATGCAGGTAACCGAGATGAAATCAAGCATTTCACAAATTGGGTTTGATGTTCAGCAAGTTTATGATATGATATCCGGAATGGTAAGTCATCTTTTCTCTCATTTAATGCATATTTACATATTTCTAGACTAATATCCGTTGTTCTTTCTCTCTTAATCCTCACAGGAGGGGAAGATTGAAACTATTGAAAGCAAACAAGTAATTTATCTACAACCATTAGCTATTTTCTATAAACCACTTCAAACTATCAGTTTTTTTAAAACCTTATTTATTTAAAACACTCTTTTTATTAAACCCTCAGGAAGTGACCAACTCGGGACTATGGCATCTATGTAAAATTGCAGGCGTTAAAGATAGCACTATAAGCACTAAAGTCTTTCAGGTGAGTGTTACCTATTTTCACTTAATGACTGATACAAATAGAATCATTGTCTACTTGTCTTACCTATTTTTCATAATGAAAGGCCTGATTGAAAAAAATATTGTTTCTGGCTTCTTGATTTAGGATATTGTTCCAAGATTACCTATCGATACTAAACCATCAGCTGACGATTCTCTCTCGGTAAAAATGCTACAACACCTTTTTTTATCATCATCATCTAAACGGGCATATTTATGTTCGGTTGATGCAAAATCTCGTCTTAGTAGTTACTAAGTGAAAATATTCACCTGGAAATACATTAGCAGATGTTAATTCATCATCTCATGCTGTTTCTTTCTTTGGCTTTTAAAAATCCTAAAAACTATGGAAACTCCAGGGTCTGCGGTTTCTGACAGAAGGCAAGGAGGCTGGAAACGTAATACATAAACCGGTTTTGGCGAAAGAAAGCCCGGTGATGGTGAAACCAGTGGAGGAACAAACAAAAGCCGCAGTCGCAGCAAGAACCCGAGTTCATAGAGTATTTCCTGGTGGAATATCTTGGGTACAGAACGTTACAGGACTATCGTAAAATATTATTTTGGTTGATTTACAAAGAGTTTGCTTTTTATTCGTCTCAAATTCTGATAATGGGACTGCAAAATTATTTTTCTGTAAAGAAAAAAAAGAGAAGAAAAAAAATTCCCAAGGGAAGTAACTTACACATGTTATTGCATTCATCAACAATTTGTTTTGCCCTTATTCTTTGGTCTCCTCTTGCTTGATGTTTGTAAAAGAAAAGAGTGAGAAAAACTGCTTTCACGGTATGTTGAATGAAAAATAAAATGATGTGTGGGATCTTGGCCTAACGATTGGAATTTATTTTCCTCTTTTGGCCTTCAATAATTTTGGTCTTTGCGCTCCTTTTTTCAGTTGTGTTTGGATCGAATTTTGTTGTAAATAAACTACTACACAACTACTGTAAAAAGTTTCAATCGTTAATTTTGAATTGAATCAAGTAGAGAAATCTATTACTATTGCTTTAGTGCTATTAGATTGGCGTCTGAATATAGTACATGTTACATTTGGAATATGTCACAAAGTGTCACTGAAGAATATGCCATGGAACATTGGAA